GTGTACTGTGAGCAGCACGGAGACGACGCGGTGTCACAGCTCTTCAGGGTCGTCCGGAGACGATGTAGTGTCACAGCTCTTAGGGTCTCCTGGGTCATCTGGAGACGATGCAGTGTCAGCTCTTCAGGGTCTTCAGGGTCGTCTGGAGACTGGGCGGTGTTTCAGCTCTTCAGGCTCTTCAGTCGTCTGTGTCGTCTGGCTGCTGTGGGCCAGGCATCCTGCTTATATACACGCTGGTGGGTTGTAAACAGTGGGCCCTGATTGGTTGTAAACGGTGGGCCGTGACTGGTTGCTTTTGGACCAATCATGAGGTGCCAGATATGCGAATTTGAGGGATTCTAGAGGCCAATCAGAGCAAGGTTTCGAAGGTCAGGTTTTTTGAAGGGAACCAATCATGGTAATTGTTTTTCAAGTCAGGTAGAGATATACACGTGTACGGACACACATCGCAAATACAAGGGAAATTCAGAAAAATCTGTAAAAGTGGAACAAGTCAGTATGAATTTATTTTGGGTCAAGAAATAACTGAGGGAACCAGCAGTTAGCGTAATGGCTATGTCGCTGGGCTCCCACGTAGTCGACCACAGTTCGTGTCCCAGACCTGGTGGCTTAAAACTCATGCCGGGCGCGTGTGTGTGCGTGCCCAAGATCCCGAGAGGAGAATGGAGGAGAAGGGATTGCAGCGTGACCATCCCCCCTGGGGGGTGATTTCTCGCTTTCTGTCTCTATGTCTCTCTCTGTCTGTCTGGCGAGCGCACGCGCCCTACAGTGAAAATCTCTCAAAAAAAAAAAAAAAAAAGAAATAACTGAAATTCATATGTATAGTTTTTTTTCATAATACGTCTTTTCCTTTAACTGTTTAAAGACCCCGTGGATAGACAGTCCCTAACTTACAAAGATTTGGTTTAGGATTTTTTTTTTTTTAACTTTATGATGGTGGGGGCTGCCATGTGTTTTGTTTTAGGAAAAAAACTGAGAATGACTATGGCTTAAAGTAATAAGTCGTACTCTACTTCTCGCTTTCTATACAGTACTCAATAAACTACATGCGACATGGAGCCAGCAGGCGGGGTAGCGGTTGTCACTGGACTCCTGTGGTTTGAGTCCCAGACCCGGTGGCTTCAAAATCATGCTGGGCACGTGTGTGTGCATACCAAGGTCCCAGGAGCAGAATGGAGGAGAAGGGACTGCGGCATGGCCATCCCCCACTGCAGGGGAGGGTGTGAGTTCTCCCTTTCCCCTCTCACAGTTTCTCTCTGTCTCTCTCCAGCAAGCGCACGTGCCCTAAGGTAAAAACTCCTTTTAAACAGTTTTTTTAAAAATGAGATAGTCACCTTTGCATCATAAAATAGGCTTTGTGGGGCCAGCAGGTGGTGTGGTAGTTAAGGCACTGGGCTTCTGCATGGCTGAGTGCTGTCCAAGGTCCAGACCCAGCTGCTTGAAAATCACACCAGGCACATGTGCACACAAGCCCAAAATCCCAGGAAGAGAACAGAGGAGGAACTGTGTGTGACCGTTCCTTCTGGGGAGGCCCAGGGCCAGGGCCAGTCTGGTCTAGAGTTCCTGCACTCCGCAGCCGACTCAGCCGCGCCCCACGCTCTCTCCCTGTCTCCCTGCTTGTCTAATAAGTACTAAGAGAAACAGATTGCCAATTGACGACCAACCTAAATTTACACCTTAAAGAGCTAAAGAAGAGAACGAGGAACCGTATTGGAGCCCATTAAACAGGTCATAGGGAAACAGAGAACACTGGTGAGAGTGAAAGGTCACAGGGGAACAGAGAACACTGGTGAGAGTGAAAGGTCACAGGGAAACAGAGAACACTGGTGAGAGTGGAAGGTCACAGGGGGACGGAGAGAACAGGGAAACAGAGAACACTGGTGAGAGTGGAAGGTCACAGGGGAACGGAGAGAACCAGTGAGAGTGGAAGGTCACAGGGGAACGGAGAGAGCTGGTGAGAGTGAAAGTCGATTCTTTGCAAAGATGAACACAATTGTCAGATCTTTAGCCAGACCGACAAGGGAAAAAAAAAACCTTCAAATGATTAAACTCAGAAATGAAAACAGGGACATCGCTACCGATTTTAAGATAAAAAGAATTCTAAATGGAATGAGCACATTCCCAGACACACAGAACCTAGGAGGCTGTGTCCGGACAGAAAATGAGAACAGGCTGACACCCAGTGAGGCGTAGGAACCAGTAATCCCACACCTCCCATGGGGAAGGGTCCTGGACAAGGTGAGCATTCTACTAAACTCTTCCAGAAAACTGGGAAGGAGGGAATGGACGAGAAAACTTCAGACCAACGTCCCCATGAAGGTCAACCCCATGAAGATCAACGCAAATATCCTCAGCAAATACTACGAATGGAATTCGGCAGCATATTAGAAGGATTATGCACCGTGACCCAGTGGGATTTGTTCCTGGAATGCAAGGAATTCCTGGAATGCAAGCAAGCTAAAATACAAAAATCAAGCCATGAAATGCAGCATATTAACACGTGGGGAGACCACATGACCCGCTCCCTTGCTGCAGAGAAAGTATTCGACAAAAGACAAAAGGCCAACGCTTTTTTATAATTAAATATATGTTCTATTTTCAGCAAACTTGGAACAAAAGGAAACTACCTCAACATAATAAAGAGGGTTAAGGAAACCCGCAGGCAGCAGCTGCCTGCGTACAGAGGTGAAAGACGAAGCTTCTCGCTAAGGAAAAGACAAGGACCCCTGTCTGGCCACTTCTGTCCGCATGGTACTGGGAGTCCCAGCCACAGTCAGGCAAGACAAGGGAAGAAAAGGTAACCAAGTTAAAAAGAAGAAGTTATCTCTATTCGCAGACGACACAGTATAATACATAGAAAAACCCCAAAGATTTCATTCCATCGCCCAAGGGTATAGTCACAAAATAGAATTTTGCATGACTGTGAAAATGGGTTAACCGCAGCTAAACAAAGCAATATAAATAAGCCTTAGGAACAGTGCCCTGAGAAAAGAAAGGAGTTAAGAGAACAGACGCGATGATAGTTTTTATAAAGCTCAAAGTCAAGTAACACGATACATCGTGTATGATCGAAGTATGTGGTCACGGACAGGAGACACACACGTGTCTGTGCATTCACACACACACACGCACACACACGCAAGAATCATAAACACAAACCCCCGGACAGCAGCCTTACGTGGAGAAGAGATGAGGGAGCCGGCTGGTTGGTGAGCAGAAAAGGGTCTGAGAAAATCGCACTGCATAGTTGACTCTTCTGCGACAGGTATTAGGTTGCCGCTATGGAATATTATATGCTATTTTTAAAGCAGTATTGAGCTTATCAAGTCGGACAGAGGGGGGATTTGCACGGCAAAGAAATGGTAGAGGTCACCAGTCAACCAGGGGAACCTAGGAAGCCTGTTGGCGCGGAAAATGGGGCAGCTCGTTTGTTAACATCCTCGTAAAGCTTAAGGAAGGAGGCGGGGAAATGAGTCCTGCTGGTTCTGAGGAGCCCAGTGAGTCGCCCAGCCCAGAAAGAAGCCTGGTGCAAAGAAGCCTGGCGCGTTACCGCGAAGCAGGGAAGGGGAGCTCGCTTTGCAAAGAAGCCTGGTGCGTTACCGCGAAGCAGGGAAGGGGAGCTCGCTTTCTGGATGAGCGCTCCTACCACGTCCCCTGTGCTGGTGTCACAGGACTCACTGACAGTCAGCAACCTTGGGCGTGCTCCCTAACTGGAAAATGTATCGGGGTTTAATGCGAACCTTTGTTTAAACAAGGAGTGTCATTATAGACCGGTGCAAGTCAGTATTTTGAAAAGAATGTCTAGAAACTATTTTTACAATGCCCCAGAGGGTTGCTGAGGACAGCTGACGTGGAGACTGCTGAATATGAGCGGATGTCAGTAATCAGTGACAGTGTCAGCGTATCCCTGATGCCCGGGGAGATCTCCGAGAACTGAGGATTTACTAGAATGTAGGAACGTCGTAATCTAACGTGCATTGCTCTCGCCCTAGAGAAAGCTGCAGTGGGCAGGGGCCTAGCAGAGCCATTTTCCGGTGCAGCCCAGTCCACGGGGAAAGACGGATGCAGACCGCCGTTAACAACGCCAACTGCTGGGGAAGCTGGTGACCACTGAATAGACGTCCAAAACACCATGAGAAAGAGGGGCTCGTCCTCCCAGGGCTTGCACAGGGGCAGTGAGAATGAGGCTGTCGCTTCTCAGGCCTGAGGGGCGAGATGCCGTCCTCCCTTTTCGAAGGATCGTGCAGAGCAGCAGGTCTGGCTCGGAGGCTGCGGTGCGTGGGCGAGTGTCCACCCAAGCAGCCCGAGATC